GGTGTGCGCTTTACACGCACAAAATCCTTCTCCCGGGACGCATCTGAACCCGAGTCCTTGCTCGAGTCGGAATGCCCCTGCGAATCGCATATCTGATTTTTCGCTATCGCCATCGCCGGCGTCGCCTCTAAACGATTGATGGCACTCGTCGACATCCTATCGCAACGTCTGCCCTGTCAAAAATCCGTACTCGCATCCACATCCGCGTCCGCATCGCACACTCGGTGATCCACACACCCCTTTGCGCTGCGAGTTGGTCGTGTGCTCCGGGTGAGGGGTTTTGCTGGTGAGGAAATGATAAATTGCGCATTTGGGAGTTTTAAAGGTCAATTTAGGGGTTACTCTCACTCCTGGCACTTCTGCAACAAACTGACTGACAGATGAACGGATAGACGGGCGACGGCCAGGCAGACGGGCGGACGGAGTCTTAGGTAGACGGAAAGGAAGAACTGTTGGTCCAAAAACGACCTAAAACTGACACGGGGTGGGGGGAAAGCTACAAAAAATATACTTATCTCAAAAACAAGGACATTTTTGAGTCTACCCTGCACAGATTTGGAATATCATTTTTTATAAAATAAAAGCTGGCTGGAAAACGGCCTGGCTGGCAGCACTCGCAGAGGCACACAAGGACTTCCGTCGCCCATAAACAGCGACACTTCAAAGTTAACTCGCACAATAAAAAATCCATGTACGAGTGCCGGAGCGGGTTCCCATTTCCCATTTTCCACTGCCAGTTCACGCAGAAGTAACAGGGTTGCACTTCGGCGGAGTGACATGGACTGGCGTGGAGTGGAGAGGGGACTTGAGTTCCGGACGGGGGGTAACTGAATTTGCTTATGGGATTTGTCTAGTGCGCCTGTTGACTTGCCAGTTGGCGTTTATATTAATGGCTCAGGTTGGGCTCGTTCTTCACTCCTTTGCATTTTTAACCCGGATTGTTAGGGATCGTTAGGAACTGACGCGTGCCCGCTTTTGGGTTATGCGTTTCGGGTCGGGGGTTTCTATGCAGAGGCCCTCGTCCCCGGGGTTGAACACCACAAGGCGCCTCACCAGCAGGTAAATCAAAATGGTAACTGCGGTGACAGTTCCTCGGATAAATGGGACGAAGTCTGGTTTTTTTAGACACCTCTCCATCAACTAATAAGTGCAACAGACAATTCTTCATGGGACTTTCTCCAGGACTAACCCCCCAGCCGTAATTGAAAAACTAATTGCAATCTATGGTCCAAGGGAGACAACTCAGTTACTTTTATAATCACAAAGCTAATCAAGGATTCGAGGCGCAGCTTGGCTTCCAGCCACGCCCCATCCCTGTCCGCCCACCTTCAAATCCCTTAATTTGTTTATCAATCTGCAATTGGCTTGCAAATGACATCTCAGGACGGCCTTCCTGGGACTTTCCCTGTGGGTCTGCACGTTTCCCGCTCACCCACTCACCCGCCTTCCCGTTTCCGCTTTCCGTTTCCGTTACCCAGTTCCCATTTCCCAGTTCCCAAGCAAGTGCCACGCCCACAGTTACATCCTACTTGCTTTCCGCCCTCATAACCATAACCGTGACATTGGAGTTAGGCATCGTAACGTTAAAGGTTTAGCCACTGAAAGCATTTTCTTATCCAAAAGATATTACTTGAAATATGGAATCGTGGTCAGGAGTGGTTATGTACAAGTAGCCATGAATTTCGCGCAGTGTAAACCTGGCACGTGTACAGGTTTGAAGCTCCGGTCACGTGACCGCACGTGGCTCGCCGCCCGCCCGTCCGTCCAGGACACAGGAGCGTCAGGACACCCTGCCCGAGTCCTGTCGCCTGGGCTGCTGTGATAAGCGCAACTTGACAACTCCCGTTCCTATATCTGCTCCTGATCCTGAGGAGATGTCAAAGACCAGGTTTCGGCTTTCGCTTATCGCAATGCACTGACAGAAAAGTCGGGGTAACAGCAAGGGGCGGACACGACAGCATTGATGGTTTTGTTAGCGTAAATATCTTAATTCACCGCTTCGCCGCCCCCGACACGCGTGAATCGTGTGCATTTGACATGAGAAACGTTTCCTGTTTCCCGCTTTCCCGCTTTCCGGGCTTGGGTTTTCACTCTTTGGGCTTTCACTTTCGCCTTTAAAGCGAAACCGGGGCAGGACCCTTTACGCAACTCACTCTCACACCCGCCGGTTCCTAACGAGCTTACAAAGAATGTAATAATCCTGTCTTGGGAACACCATTTCAAAGTCCTCATATACAGTTTTATTCTCTGCTAACGTGGGATAATTCGAACAAGCGTGATGTGGGGTTAATTGCCGTGTTTTTCAAATGTGCAAAATTTTTTAAAAAAATTGGATTTTTGGAACTGGAGAAGGCTACTCTTTGAAAGATGCATTGACAAAAATGTTTACTCGCAGGCCCTGTATTTCCCGCTTCTGCATTGGAACATCCTTTAGAATGTAGCCAGTTTTTAGCTAGGAAATTGTAACAGGCCCTCGGGGTATTCCGGGCGACTTGGAGGGGGAAACCGCAGGCGACAGACGGACGGAAAACAGGCCGCTATTGTTGTGCTTCTGTAGGTTGTTGGCACCATAAAAACATATGACACCATTTTGATGAGTCGCGCATTTTGGCACGCCAAATTATGCATAAAATAGATGGCTGTGTTGACACTTTCCACAGCCGAATCAGAATCGGAATCAGGACGGCAAGGGCTGTGATGGGGATGGGGTTGGAAAGGCGGCACTGCCAGGGACCACCCGGGACCTGACAGGGATCGGTTCACCTAATCGGACTTGTCATGTGCGCATCACAACAGAGGCTTCACATCGGGAGACAGAGGGGTGGAATCCCAGGCCACTATCTCGCCAGAAGCCTTGTCTCAGATTCACATTCAACGTTCACAACAAACACTCTGGTTTCCCTCTGTCCGATCTACTCCGATAGACTTACATCCGAAACCCAAAACGGAACACTCAAAACAAGACCGATAAAACAGAGCAGGCTGTGAATCAAAGCTTAGCCTCCAGATTTGTTAACTAACTTCAATTGCGTTTGAAATTTGAAACCCATTGGCATTGGCAAGGGTGCAAGGGTGTTCCAGGAAATAGGCTTGCGGTGGGCAAGGGCAAGGGCACATGTGTGTGACAGCGCCGAGCAAATGCATCAGTGCGCCCAGAACCGGGGGTGTCGCTTTAGAGTTCGCTGGGAAGGGAGGAAGAGGGTTGCTGCTATGAGGTCTCTAGGTGGAGCGTCTTTGGACGCAACTGAGGCGAGATTGTTGCTCATTTTGGGGGTCAAGTCCCTCAATTGCCATTTTTTCCCAAAACTCTGTACCCACACTAATATTTTTTAGATTTTTTGTCCATTTTTCCGGATGGGATTCCTTGAAAATGGGGCTTTCCCCTGAAGGGTCCACTGCGATGGCTATATCTTCCCCAATTCTCATCCGATTCTCAAGCGGAGTACCTTAAACGATTTCTAGATCGATTTGCCACAATTCTGCATCAAAATCCTGACACAAAATATTTTTTAGATTTTTTGTCCATTTTTCGTGAGGGGATCCCTTGAAAATGGGGTTTTCTCCTAGAGGGTCCACTGCGATGGCTATATCTTCCCCAATTCTCATCCGATTCTCAAGCGGAGTACCTTAAACGATTTCTAGATCGATTTGCCACAATTCTGCATCAAAATCCTGGGATAAAATATTTTTTAAATTTTTTGTCCATTTTTCGTGAGGGGATCCCTTGAAAATGGGGTTTTCCCCTATAGGGTCCACAGTGACGGCTATATCTTCCCCAATTCTCATCCGATTCTCAAGCGGAGTACCTTAAACGATTTCTAGATCGATTTGCCACCATTCTGCATCAAAATCCTGGGATAAAATATTTTTTTGATTTTTTGTCCATTTTTTGTGAGGGGATCCCTTGAAAATGGGGTTTTTCCCTATAGGGTCCACAGTGATGGCTATATCTTCCCCAATTCTCTTCCGATTCTCAAGCGGAGTAGCTTAAACGATTTCTGGTTCGATTCGCCACCAGTCTGCATCAAAATCCTGGGACAAAATATTTTTCAGATTTTTTGTCCATTTTTCGTGAGGGGATCCCTTGAAAATGGGGTTTTCCCCTATAGGGTCCACTGTGATGGCTATATCTTCCCCAATTCTCATCCGATTCTCAAGCGGAGTACCTTAAACGATTTCTAGATCGATTTGCCACAATTCTGCATCAAAATCCTGACACAAAATATTTTTTAAATTTTTTGTCCATTTTTCGTGAGGGGATCCCTTGAAAATGGGGTTTTCCCCTATAGGGTCCACTGTGATGGCTATATCTTCCCCAATTCTCATCCGATTCTCAAGCGGAGTACCTTAAACGATTTCTAGATCGATTTGCCTCCATTCTGCATCAAAATCCTGACACAAAATATTTTTTAAATTTTTTGTCCATTTTTCCTGATGAGATCCCTTGAAAATGGGGTTTTCCCCCATTGGGTCCACAGGGATGGCTATATCTTCCCCAATTCTCATCCGATTCTCAAGCGGAGTACCTTAAACGATTTCTAGATCGATTTGCCACAATTCTGCATCAAAATCCTGACACCAAATATTTTTTAAATTTTTTGTCCATTTTTCGTGAGGGGATCCCTTGAAAATGGGGTTTTCCCCTATAGGGTCCACAGTGACGGCTATATCTTCCTCATTTTTCGTGATGGTTAAAATATTTATTTTATTTCAAGTTAGTATATAGTCTAAAAAACGTTCGTTTCTTGTGTGACTTTACTGCCCGTTACTTTACTGTTGTGAATATCGTAAGCCCGGTGGAAGTATTGGGTTAGCGAGAATATCTACCAATGTAACAAATAAACTCAACGAATGTGGTTTGTGTCTAGGGTGTGGAAAATTGTTCAAGATATATTTAAAGAATCAGAAAATAGAAACTTAAAATATTTGAGTGGTGAATTCCAGGACTTCACCCAATCCTTACAGCGCTTAGTTTATTCATTCAAAAAAAACAGTTTGAGTTCCTAGTCATAAGAAGGCGATTTAATTCGTCTCATTTCTTTCGCTCGTATCGGAATTTGTATACCGCCGCACCATCCTTGGAACTTGACTTCAATTTCTTTGGCTTGAGTAAACGCGGCTGCTTCAGGGCGTGGTTGAGCTGCAGCTTCTGCTGGACGATGCCTAGCTCCCGCTCACGCAGCTCCCGCTTTCGGAGCTCGTTGATCCGCTGCTGCTTTTCTGTGTTCGACGTTTTTCCCTATAAAGGAAATATGTGCTTATACATTAAAACAGTTTAGATCAAAAAGAAGTCCCACTCACTTTGGCAACCTCCTGCTCCGCCTCCTTGAGCCGATCACCCAGACTGACGGTCTGTTTGCGACCCTGCTCGTCATAGACAAAACGCTGGTTGAGGGCCTTGCTGGCGTCCGCATCCACGTCCACCACAGTCACCTTGAGGCGGTCGATTTTTCGCCGCTCAATGGTACGCTTCATAACGACGTATTTGAGGTCCTGCGTCTGCATAAGGGCCAGCTGCTCGGGTGTGTGAGTGTCCTCCTTCTCCTTTTCGTGATGCTCGTCATTGGAAAGCTTAGCGTTGACCATGTGGTGATAGAACTCGTCTGGGTTTTTGTTCTGGGCTCGCCTGTGCAGCAGTTTGAGGGTCTTCTCCTTGCGCTGAGCGTCAATGGCCCGCTTCTTGTAGTCCTTTTTCTTCTCCAGTAAACCCAAGTGCTGGCGGGACTCCGGCTGGTGCCGCTCCCGGTGCACTTTCTGGTTGCTCTTTGATGCCTTCTTCCACGATGACATGGTGATGCTTCTCGGGGCTGGCGGAGAATAGAATATTAAACCTTTTGTTTACAACGAAAACGTGCTAGCGGTGGATGTGTCGTGGTGTTGGGAAACCTACTGCCAGATAACCAGTGTTGTTAATCAGCTGCGGTCAGGCCAAAAAATTGTTGTACTTGGGAGCAATACATACCTGATAAATATTTTCAAATTTATTTTTTAAGCCTAATTCGAATAAGACTAATTTATGTATTTTTAGATAGCTTCACTTATTTACATTTACTACTATCGGTAGTAACACCTGTTGCGAAATGATCTTTTAGACTTATCGACTATCGCCACCACTATCGAAAGTCTTTTTCATCCCTAAGCCAGATATTGTCATCTCAAGTCTACTTGTTCATCTCTAACCAGATTTGTTTATAATTAAATTTTTGATTCTTTTTACCAAAAAGCGCCTCCACCTAATGTTAAAAGCTTAATTATGGCGCGGAAGAAGAAACTTGACAGCCGGATGCGGAGATGGTTGAGAACGTCGTCAAGTTGGCCCCTGGTTCATGTTCATCGCAATCGGTGACAAGTGGCGCGACCAGATGATAGGTTCGACCGGATAAAAGCTTGTGTTGATCATTTGGTTGTATGTGGGCGGAACCGTTTATAAAGTACTTTTGCTGAGGGTCAATAGCGCTACAACAACATGTAACAACTTCTTTTTACAACGAAACCATAATAACGGTGGAGTTAATCAGGTAATTTCTAATTGCATACAAATATTTTTTCAGGCATAAAAATATTAAAGAATATGTTGTCTAATTTATTTTACAAGAGAGATCCATTTATTAATAATACAGATTTTTATTATTGTTCTTAAACTTTGCAGTATCGGCAACTATCGTAATACCTGTTGAGAGAACTGTGCAGTGGAGTTATCGACTATCGCTCTTTTCCCATCCCTAAGCCGCACACGTGCATCTGTGATTTAGTTTTAAACCAGTTCACCGCCATTATTTACGCTGTTTGACAAACAAAATTAAGATGGTGAAGAAGAAAATAGATAACAGAATCCGGGTGATGATAGAGAACGGCGTAAAGCTGGGCCACCGGACCATGTTCATCGTGATCGGTGACAAGGCGCGCGACCAGGTGCCGATCCTGTACGACATACTAACCAAATCGACGGTGAAGGCTCGGCCAACAGTGCTATGGTGCTATAAGAACAAGGATGAGGCCATATCAAAGTAAGTTACTTGTGAAACTTAGTTAAATTCCTATACAATCTCAGATTTCCTTTTCAGCCATGGTAAAAAGAGGGCCAAAAAGATAGCCGTTGGTAAAGTGGACGTAAACGAGGCAGACCTGTTTGATTCCTTTCGTGTGGCGACAACCATCCACGGACGATACTATTCTGAGACGCATGCTGTGCTTGGACGCACCTACGGAGTCTGTGTGTTGCAGGACTTTGAAGCCCTAACTCCGAACCTGCTGGCCCGCACTGTGGAGACAGTAGAAGGCGGGGGTCTAATTATCCTGCTTCTTAAGACTTTACAGTCGCTGAAGCAGCTCTACACTATGAGCATGGATGTGCACAAGCGGTTTCGCACGGAGGCCCACCAAACTGTAACCTGTCGCTTTAACGAGAGGCTCATTCTGTCCCTGGCGGACTGTAAACGCTGCTTGGTGGTCAACGATGACCTCACAGTGCTACCACTAAGTTCCAAGACTATCAACGTGGAGCCAGTAAACGTAAGCCAAATTTTTCATGTTTTTATTGGTGTCACGGTATTGTCTATTTACAGCCCGCGGGCGCAGGTCGATCGCCGAACGAGGCCAGTTTGCGGGAGCTGAAAGAAAGCCTCCTCAATGTCCAGCCCGCAGGAGCCCTTGTGAATCTTTGCAAGACATACGATCAGGCCAATGCTGTGGCCCAGTTTATTGAGGCACTAGTAGACAAGCAATTAAAGCCACCAATGTCTCTAACCGCGGCACGTGGACGTGGCAAGTCCGCCGCGCTCGGTCTGTCGATTGCCGCCGCTGTAGCCTTTGGTTACGTGAACATCTATGTGACCTCCCCGCATCCGGAGAATCTGATCACACTCTTTGAATTCGTGCTAAAGGGCTTTGACGCCCTGGAGTACCAGGAGCATGCGGACTATACTATCATTCGTTCCACCAATGCCGAGTACAAAAAGGCCATCATTCGGATCAATATCACGCGGAGCAGCAGACAGACGATCCAGTATATCGCCCCTAGCGACACTCACCTTCTGAATGCCGCGGATCTGGTGCTGATAGACGAAGCGGCTGCCATTCCACTGCCTCTGGTAAAGAAGATGATCGGGCCGTGTCTGATCTTCATGGCTAGCACAATTAACGGCTACGAGGGCACCGGTCGCTCGCTGAGTCTGAAGCTTATCTCCCAGCTGCAAAAGGAGAATAACGCGCGGCCACCTCTGAAGCTGGAGGAATCAATTCGGTACCAGGACAACGACGATGTTGAAAAATGGCTGATAAACCTACTCTGCCTGGATGCCAGTACCGTTCCCGGTATAAGCTCCGGATGCCCAACCCCGGACGCCTGCGAACTTTACTATGTGGACAGAGATGCACTGTTCTCCTACCACAAGGCGGCGGAGGCATTCTTGCATCGGCTTGTGGCCATTTATGTATCCTCGCACTACAAGAACACGCCAAACGACCTTCAGATGATGAGCGACGCCCCTGCCCACCATCTGTTCTGCCTCCTGGGTCCCGTGCAGCGAATGGACGCCCTGCCTGAGATCTTGGTGGTCATACAAGTGGCCCTCGAGGGGCAGATCTCCGCCCAGAGCATCAGCGACTCTCTGGGCAGGGGGAAGAAGGCAGCCGGCGACCTTATACCCTGGAATATAGCCGAGCAATTCGGGGACCGGGACTTTCCAAAACTTAGTGGCGTGCGAATTGTGCGAGTGGCGACGCATCCGAATTATCAGCGGATGGGATATGGCAAACGGGCCATTCAGCTACTCAAGGACTACTACGGCGGGAAGTACACCAACCTGGAGGATGGTCCGTTGGCCAACAAGGGTACCGACAAAGGTAATCAAAGTAAATCATGTTCCCATTTTTGCATTTTTTAACAAACAAAATATTCTTGAAAAGGTATAGAGGAAGTGGAAGAAGAGCAGCTCAGCTTGCTGAAGGAGCAGATTCGACCCAGGAGCCGGATTCCCACACTGCTGCAGCGCCTGCACGAACGGGTGCCAGAACGCGTGGACTACCTTGGCACCTCCTACGGCCTAACCTCCGAGCTCCTCAAGTTTTGGAAGAGCGCTGGTTTTGTTCCAATTTACCTCAGCCAGAAATCCAATGAACTTACCGCCGAGCACAGCTGCATCATGTTATACACTACTGGTGCTACCTCCTGGCTGGGACTGTATTACCATGACTTCTGCCGCAGAGTGCTCAAACTAATGGGAAAGACCTTCCGTGAGTTCGAAACCAAGCTCTGCTTGTCGCTGCTAAAGAACAAAAATGTGGAGCAAAGCGGGCTGAAGGTACTAGACAAGGCAACTCTGGATGTTTTCTTCCTGCCACACGATCTGCAGCGACTAGAGAGCTACGCCCGCCAACAGTCAGAGTTCCGCCTCATTCTGGACCTGCTATCGGATATTGCGCAGCTGTACTTCCAGGGCAGGATCGAGGGCCTGCAGTTGGATTTGGTCCAGCAGGGCGTCCTTTTGGCACTTGGCGTCCAAGGCAAAACTGTCGACGCCCTGGGCTCGGAACTGAATATGCCTGGAAACCAGCTGCTGGCTAAGTTCTTTGACGCTATGAAGCGGTGCAACCAGTGCTTCCGATCTGTGCTGGAGCAGCACATTGAGGGCGGCATGCTGCGCGAGGAGAACTTATCAAAAGGCGAGGAGCTGCAGCCGCTGAGCCTTTCTCTTGACCAAGAGCTGGACCAGACCGCAAACAAACTAAGCAAGCAGCAGCGAAAGGAACTTAAAAGGCTAAAGGCCGAGCAGCTTGACGAGTTCCAGATCAAGGGCAGCGAGGAGGACTGGTCGAAAGCATTGCAGTCGAACGGAACTGGCGGTGGCAGCGGCCTTCTCTCCGTAAAAAGGTAAGTGTACGTATTTTTTGGGTTTTAAGAGGGGACGGATAATCAGATCCACACTTGGTGTGGAGAATACTTGGTGAGGTGGCCTAAACAAATTTATTTATTTCCATGTGGTTTCATTTTCCTGTAACTTTCCCTCTCTTTCGTTTTAGTGGCGTGAAGCGACTGGACGGACCGTTTGAGCAGCCTGAGGATCGGGACCTGGCAGCTCCCCTTTCCAAAAAGAAGAAGCATTCAAAGCAGAAACGCGGCCATCAAAAGGCCCTGATTTAACCTGAGCTGCATTGGGGCGGGTTGCATTTCAATGTAAATGCATAGGCTTAAGTGCTAAAAAGTATGTTTTGTAGGCTTATTTTAATAAAACATTGTAACAAAAATTGTTTTTTTCCATAATTTTCCCTATTTTTTCCGAATTTTCCCGATTTTTCCGGCATTTTCCAGAATTTTTTAGTATTTTTATTTTTTTCAGAATGACTTGCACTTTTTTTCGGCTTCGAAAAATTGGTTTTCGGCCCGCTACCAGGCTCGGAGTACCAGGCGAACAGAAACGCATAGTAGGTGGATTCTCCTTTTTGAAACTGTTTTTTGTGAATAACTCGGCCATTTGGCATCCAATCGTGGATTGTGATGGCTCAAAAAAAGTGGAAAAATTCGGCCCATCTATCTGGCTAACAAAGTCTGGTATTGGCCAAGTTAACACGGAGTGGTAAACAAATTTGGCTTAAATATTTATTTTTAAAACTTTGTTTGCTTATCACTCGGTCATTTTCTAGCCGATCGGGAAGCATAGTACCATTCCAGGATCAGGACCTTGATATCCTTCGAACTGCATCAAAGGATCCTCATGAAGTCCTGAAATACCGATACTGATCCTTTCCTAAAATATGATTGCCGCTCGACGTTTTGTTGTTGGATTCTGAAGATCCTTTGATGCAGATCGAAGGATGTTCAAGTCCTGATGCCAAAATTATATTTCATTTTAAGATCGGTTGAAAAACAGCCGAGATATAAACAAACCAATTTATAGAAATATTCTTCTAAGCTAAATTTCTTTACCAATCGGTCTTAACTTGGCCAATACCAGATTTTGTTAGCCAGGTAGATGGGCCGTATTTTTCTGCATTTTTTGACATACCACAATCTAGGCTTAGATGCGAAATGGCCGAGTTATTCACAAAAAAAAGTTTCAAAAAGCAGAATCCACCTTCTATGCATTTCTGTTCGCCTGGTACTCCGAGCCTGGTAGCGGCCGAAAACTTGAAAAATTTCTGCCTCGAATGTCCGTGACGTCACGGGAAGAATTTTTTGTTCGATTTTGACAAAATTGGTATGCAGTTCGATAGACTTTGGGACGCTGATTCCGAAAATGCCAAGCGTTGCCAGATCGGACCACGAATGGCCGAGATATGGGCTCTAGAATCTTTATTTCTGTCCCGATCTGGCAACGCCGTACATTTTCGGAATCAGCGCTCGGATGTCCACCGAACTGCATACCACGATTTTCGATATCGAACAACTCATTTTCGACCGTTTTTTCGAAAAAATGGAAAGGCTATACATCACGATTTTTTCCAATTTTCGCCGAAAAATTTTTTGTCTCATTTTGACAAAATTGGTATGCAGTTCGATAGACTTTGGGACGCTGATTCAGAAAATGCCAAGCGTTGCCAGATCGGACCACAAATGGCCGAGATATGGGCTCTAGAATCTCTATTTCTGGTCCAATCTGGCAACGCCGTACATTTTCGGAATCAGCGCTCGAATGTCCATCGAACTGCATACCACGATTTTCGATATCGAACAACTCATTTTCGACCGATTTTTCGCAAAAATGGAAAGGCTATACATCACGATTTTTTCCAATTTTCGCCGAAAAATTTTTTGTCTCATTTTGACAAAATTGGTATGCAGTTCGATAGACTTTGGGACGCTGATTCAGAAAATGCCAAGCGTTGCCAGATCGGACCACAAATGGCCGAGATATGGGCTCTAGAATCTCTATTTCTGGTCCAATCTGGCAACGCCGTACATTTTCGGAATCAGCGCTCGAATGTCCACCGAACTGCATACCACGATTTTCGATATCGAACAACTCATTTTCGACCGATTTTTCGCAAAAATGGAAAGGCTATACATCACGATTTTTTCCAATTTTCGCCGAAAAATTTTTTGTCTCATTTTGACAAAATTGGTATGCAGTTCGATAGACTTTGGGACGCTGATTCAGAAAATGCCAAGCGTTGCCTGATCGGACCACGAATGGCCGAGATATGGGCTGCAGAAACCCCAATTTTGGTCCGATCTGGCAACGCCGTACATTTTTGGAATCAGCGTTCGAATGTCCACCGAACTGCATACCACGATTTTCGATATCGAACAACTCATTTTCGACCGATTTTTCGCAAAAATGGAAAGGCTATACATCACGATTTTTTCCAATTTTCGCCGAAAAATTTTTTGTCTCATTTTGACAAAATTGGTATGCAGTTCGATAGACTTTGGGACGCTGATTCAGAAAATGCCAAGCGTTGCCAGATCGGACCACAAATGGCCGAGATATGGGCTCTAGAATCTCTATTTCTGGTCCAATCTGGCAACGCCGTACATTTTCGGAATCAGCGCTCGAATGTCCACCGAACTGCATACCACGATTTTCGATATCGAACAACTCATTTTCGACCGATTTTTCGCAAAAATGGAAAGGCTATACATCACGATTTTTTCCAATTTTCGCCGAAAAATTTTTTGTCTCATTTTGACAAAATTGGTATGCAGTTCGATAGACTTTGGGACGCTGATTCAGAAAATGCCAAGCGTTGCCAGATCGGACCACAAATGGCCGAGATATGGGCTCTAGAATCTCTATTTCTGGTCCAATCTGGCAACGCCGTACATTTTCGGAATCAGCGCTCGAATGTCCATCGAACTGCATACCACGATTTTCGATATCGAACAACTCATTTTCGACCGATTTTTCGCAAAAATGGAAAGGCTATACATCACGATTTTTTCCAATTTTCGCCGAAAAATTTTTTGTCTCATTTTGACAAAATTGGTATGCAGTTCGATAGACTTTGGGACGCTGATTCAGAAAATGCCAAGCGTTGCCAGATCGGACCACAAATGGCCGAGATATGGGCTCTAGAATCTCTATTTCTGGTCCAATCTGGCAACGCCGTACATTTTCGGAATCAGCGCTCGAATGTCCATCGAACTGCATACCACGATTTTCGATATCGAACAACTCATTTTCGACCGATTTTTCGCAAAAATGGAAAGGCTATACATCACGATTTTTTCCAATTTTCGCCGAAAAATTTTTTGTCTCATTTTGACAAAATTGGTATGCAGTTCGATAGACTTTGGGACGCTGATTCAGAAAATGCCAAGCGTTGCCAGATCGGACCACAAATGGCCGAGATATGGGCTCTAGAATCTCTATTTCTGGTCCAATCTGGCAACGCCGTACATTTTCGGAATCAGCGCTCGAATGTCCATCGAACTGCATACCACGATTTTCGATATCGAACAACTCATTTTCGACCGATTTTTCGCAAAAATGGAAAGGCTATACATCACGATTTTTTCCAATTTTCGCCGAAAAATTTTTTGTCTCATTTTGACAAAATTGGTATGCAGTTCGATAGACTTTGGGACGCTGATTCAGAAAATGCCAAGCGTTGCCAGATCGGACCACAAATGGCCGAGATATGGGCTCTAGAATCTCTATTTCTGGTCCAATCTGGCAACGCCGTACATTTTCGGAATCAGCGCTCGAATGTCCACCGAACTGCATACCACGATTTTCGATATCGAACAACTCATTTTCGACCGATTTTTCGCAAAAATGGAAAGGCTATACATCACGATTTTTTCCAATTTTCGCCGAAAAATTTTTGTCTCATTTTGACAAAATTGGTATGCAGTTCGATAGACTTTGGGACGCTGATTCAGAAAATGCCAAGCGTTGCCTGATCGGACCACGAATGGCCGAGATATGGGCTGCAGAAACCCCAATTTTGGTCCGATCTGGCAACGCCGTACATTTTTGGAATCAGCGTTCGAATGTCCACCGAACTGCATACCACGATTTTCGATATCGAACAACTCATTTTCGACCGATTTTTCGCAAAAATGGAAAGGTTATACATCACGATTTTTTCCAATTTTCGCCGAAAAATTTTTGTCTCATTTTGACAAAATTGGTATGCAGTTCGATAGACTTTGGGACGCTGATTCAGAAAATGCCAAGCGTTGCCAGATCGGACCACAAATGGCCGAGATATGGGCTCTAGAATCTCTATTTCTGGTCCAATCTGGCAACGCCGTACATTTTCGGAATCAGCGCTCGAATGTCCATCGAACTGCATACCACGATTTTCGATATCGAACAACTCATTTTCGACCGATTTTTCGCAAAAATGGAAAGGCTATACATCACGATTTTTTCCAATTTTCGCCGAAAAATTTTTTGTCTCATTTTGACAAAATTGGTATGCAGTTCGATAGACTTTGGGACGCTGATTCAGAAAATGCCAAGCGTTGCCTGATCGGACCACGAATGGCCGAGATATGGGCTGCAGAAACCCCAATTTTGGTCCGATCTGGCAACGCCGTACATTTTCGGAATCAGCGCTCGAATGTCCATCGAACTGCATACCACGATTTTCGATATCGAACAACTCATTTTCGACCGATTTTTCGCAAAAATGGAAAGGCTATACATCACGATTTTTTCCAATTTTCGCGGAAAAATTTTTTGTCTGATTTTGACAAAATTGGTATGCAATTCGACAGTCTTTGGGACGCTGATTCCGAAAATGCCAAGCGTTGCCAGATCGGACCACAAACGGCCGAGATATGGGCTCTAGAAAGCCCATTTATAGCCCGATCTGGCAACGCCGTACATTTTCGGAATCAGCGCTCGAATGTCCATCGAACTGCATACCACGATTTTCGATATCGAACAACTCATTTTCGACCGATTTTTCGCAAAAATGGAAAGGCTATACATCACGATTTTTTCCAATTTTCGCCGAAAAATTTTTTGTCTCATTTTGACAAAATTGGTATGCAGTTCGATAGACTTTGGGACGCTGATTCCGAAAATGCCAAGCGTTGCCAGATCGGACCACGAATGGCCGAGATATGGGCTCTAGAATCTTTATTTCTGTCCCGATCTGGCAACGCCGTACATTTTCGGAATCAGCGCTCGAATGTCCATCGAACTGCATACCACGTTTTTCGATATCGAACAACTCATTTTCGACCGTTTTTTCGAAAAAATGGAAAGGCTATACATCACGATTTTTTCCAATTTTCGCGGAAAAATTTTTTGTCTGATTTTGACAAAATTGGTATGCAGTTCGACAGACTTTGGGACGCTGATTCCGAAAATGCCAAGCGTTGCCAGATCGGACCACAAGTGGCCGAGATATGGGCTCTAGAAACCCCAATTCTGGTCCGATCTGGCAACGCCGTACATTTTCGGAATCAGCGCTCGAATGTCCATCAAACTGCATACCACGTTTTTCGATATCGAACAACTCATTTTCGACCGATTTTTCGAAAAAATGGAAAGGCTATACATCACGATTTTTTCCAATTTTCGCGGAAAAATTTTTTGTCTGATTTTGACAAAATTGGTATGCAATTCGACAGTCTTTGGGACGCTGATTCCGAAAATGCCAAGCGTTGCCAGATCGGACCACGAATGGCCGAGATATGGGCTCTAGAATCTTTATTTCTGTCCCGATCTGGCAACGCCGTACATTTTCGGAATCAGCGCTCGGATGTCCACCGAACTGCATACCACGATTTTCGATATCGAACAACTCATTTTCGACCGTTTTTTCGAAAAAATGGAAAGGTTATACATCACGATTTTTTCCAATTTTCGCGGAAAAATTTTTTGTCTGATTTTGACAAAATTGGTATGCAATTCGACAGTCTTTGGGACGCTGATTCCGAAAATGCCAAGCGTTGCCAGATCGGACCACAAACGGCCGAGATATGGGCTCTAGAAAGCCCATTTATAGCCCGATCTGGCAACGCCGTACATTTTCGGAATCAGCGCTCGAATGTCCATCGAACTGCATACCACGTTTTTCGATATCGAACAACTCATTTTCGACCGTTTTTTCGAAAAAATGGAAAGGTTATACATCACGATTTTTTCCAATTTTCGCGGAAAAATTTTTTGTCTGATTTTGACAAAATTGGTATGCAATTCGACAGTCTTTGGGACGCTGATTCCGAAAATGCCAAGCGTTGCCAGATCGGACCACAAACGGCCGAGATATGGGCTCTAGAAAGCCCATTTATAGCCCGATCTGGCAACGCCGTACATTTTCGGAATCAGCGCTCGGATGTCCACCGAACTGCATACCACGATTTTCGATATCGAACAACTCATTTTCGACCGTTTTTTCGAAAAAATGGAAAGGTTATACATCACGATTTTTTCCAATTTTCGCGGAAAAATTTTTTGTCTGATTTTGACAAAATTGGTATGCAGTTCGACAGACTTTGGGACGCTGATTCCGAAAATGCCAAGCGTTGCCAGATCGGACCACAAGTGGCCGAGATATGGGCTCTAGAAACCCCAATTCTGGTCCGATCTGGCAACGCCGTACATTTTCGGAATCAGCGCTCGAATGTCCATCGAACTGCATACCACGTTTTTCGATATCGAACAACTTATTTTCGACTCGATTATTCGATTTCGATTATTACAACGCAATATCGATAGTCAATCCGATTCTATTTTGCGCACTATAGCACAGCTGATGTGCTGCAAAGCGCACTATCGCCCACTTGATGAGCTGTAAAGCGCACTATCGCCCACTTGATGTGCTGTAAAGCGCACTATCGCCCGTTTGAAAAAATTCCGAAAACAACAAAATCAGCATCAATGCTTAAATGATTTCCTGATGGGATTAAATTTTCCAACGGTTTTGCTTAGCCAAACTAGTTTAGTGGTTACAGGGTTTACAATTTAATGTATTGTAGGCTTAATATAATAAAAACTAATATATGACCTAAATAGCCAACTTATATCTTGATGGTGTCAGAGTTAGAAGAGGCAGCAGCGGCAGCTTTCTTACGACGCTCTTTTAAATCTTGGTAGCTGACGCCCGGTTCTTTATGGGAGCTGCGTGCGAAGCGTTTAACCTTGGCCTTCTTGCGTCCGACTGCCTTTGTTGTGGGCAGCATATTGTTCCTCTGCATAAGAAGGAAGCGGTCCTTCAGCAAGCTGCTCTCGGTCTTGACATTGCGAAGATTTCCGGCCAAATCCTCTGGCATATTTACATCCACGTCCGGCTCCTCGAATTTGTGCCGCCCTAAACGTTTCGGATTGAACTTTGCCTTCTCGGCGCGCTGCTTGCGCCTCTTCTTCAGGTCGTTCAGTTCTTCCTCTTCTTCGTTTAACTCGGCACGAATGGATTTGATCCTGTGTAGCGTATATAGAGATTTCATTAAAGTAATACATTTTTGAAAAATTAATTTGTAGTGCTTACCGAATCAAGTCGGCTGTTTGTCGCTTAAGCTTCCGCTTCAGTTCGGTTTGACGCTGTAGCTCCTTCTGCTTAAGCTCTTTATTGCGAGCCTGTTTACTCTTCTTCTTGTTTTCCACGGGAGCGTTAATCGTATGATAGGGCTTGTCCTCTTGTCCGGGATTCGGATCTTCCTCCTGCTCCTCCTGATCGTCCTGTTCATCATCCATACCCTGACTCATCTCCTGCACTCGGCGCTGGTCACGCTCTTCGGGCGTTACTTTAGAGAACATGCTGGTGGTCACGCGCTTTAAATGTTTCTCCTTTTTGATGATACCCTCCTCCCGCTCTACCACCTGCTGCAGTAGTTCCTGATGGTCTTGCAACGAGGGATTGTAACTCATGCCCGGGTGCGGCAGCGCGAACTTTCTGCAAACAAACACATTATTAGATATTTTGGAAAACAGCTACATTTTAGATGATGATTTACTTGGCCTTAGTGGTGTTATGGTGCAGACTGGCATGAGTCTTGACCACCTTCTTTCCTACATTCCCAGCCACGTGCAGCGCTAACTCCCTACTGATCCAGCCCTTTTTGTCTTTCAATCCAGGGATCTTGTCGCGGAAGTCTTCTTCCTGCCAGATGTCTTTCTCTACTGGTAACTTTTTACTTTTCTTGTCCTCGAGCCTTTGTTCCAACTTCGCATAGTAGAGTGCGCGATCACTGTTGGCTTGGCGATGGCGTGGCTTGGTGGGATTGCACACCTCCAACTCAATATTGCGTCCGTTCTTCTTTTGTTTCACTTTATTGCTGGAAAACAGTATGAAATGAGATAGCCCATAGGCTGAAACTAGAAAGTTATTTACCGTTTGGCTATGGGATCCTCGACCTTGGATGTGTTCTCCAGCGCCTGGTAGGTGCGCATCGGTTTTTTGGCGTTCAGCTTTCGCTTTTGTTTAACACTTAGCAACGATGGTTTCGTTTTCTGTGGCGTGGCATCTACCACGAACAGGTCTTTGTCTTGCTTGTCCGTGAATGTCCTAGGAAGAGATGGTAAAAGTACATCATTATTTAAATACCTTCTAGCTTAATAGATAAACATTCTCACCCGATACGCTCCTCCTGTCGCTGGTCTTCCAAAAACTGCTCCACATCCTGGATGTCTGTCTTGCGCCATGCAGATTTATTCTTCTTGGAAATCTTGCGCTTTTTCTTTGCAAGTGGCTCTACGGCTGTCATTTTAATGTATTTACTTCGAGTATAATCAGAAAAACTAATTTCTGTGCCAAAGCGGCACACGTGCTGTTTTCAAAAACTAGGCAACACTAATGGCTGTCGTTAAACATCACTGGTTAGTGTATAATATCGATAGTAATGAGATTTATCGATGTTTTAAGTGTTATAGGTAGTAGGTTGCTCAACACTGCTCAGCTGGTCAGTGATGAGCAGCTTCTGTAAAATAAAAAGAGCTAAATTTAAAAAAACGGGGAATTAAAAGTAAAATCATATAAAGAATTAACGAAAAAAATATATATGACTATTAATGCTTTATACCATTTTTAAATCGAATATAAACTTCAGTAGCCAGGCATGAATGCAGATTCCTATTTGAAAAAGACACGTACTATTTAAGCCGGGCGGGCACTCACCTAGTACAGAATCATAATAGTTTACGCCGTGTTGGCGGTCATAAGGTCAGCAATAAAAGCAATAAAATAGGCGTCAGCGCAATCTCAACAAACAAATCAAAATAAACTTGGATGTGAGAACATCAACGGGTAAGTGGTGGCAGCGACGCCGAATCTGGTTGAGTCCGAGGATGGTCTGACGTGTCCAACAGTAGGAGTACGGTGGCCACAACCTGTTGAGAACAGGTGGAGGCAGTTACGCTAAGATGTTACATTATCTTAATTTTAGTCATATTTTAAACAAAAACTAAACCGTATGTTCACCCAACGGAGGCTTACCTGTGAAATGTTTTTCGTTGATAGCGCTTATCATTCGTTTTCTCTGCGTATAAAAGGCTGATCGGGATTCTCTGCCAGAAGCATAAGTCATTCAACCATCGAAATGAGTGCTACATTTCCCAGTTTTGCGGACATCTCCGCCAAGTTCTCCGAGAGCACTCTCGATGAGATTATCAAGAATGCGGGCGGCACGCGTCATACCTCGTACAAGTTTGGGCCCAGCGGTAAGAAGGGCGACGCCTACCTGAGCCGCGTCTTCAGGATCACCATTTACGGCGTGAAGGAGGGAGCCGCGGACCAGGAGACCGAAAACCTGGAAGTTAGTGTCATCGTCAAATCTATGCCAGACAATCTCCACCGGCGACGACTATTCCGCTCTGTGATTTTCTTCCGCAACGAGATCCACTTTTACTCGAAGGTCATCCCTGCTATCGAGGCGTTCCAAAAGTCTCGAAAGCCTGCTCCGCAGAATCCCTTTGTGGAGTACCCGAAGTGCCTGGCATATTTGTGCGACGGGGTCAACGATTTCATCGCCCTGGAGGATGTGGGTCCCAGGGGCTACAAGGCGCCAGTTCGGTGAGTTTACTGCAATTGTACAAAAATTGCTATCTTCTTATAGAGGGATAAATATATATCCCTTCTTATAGAGGGATACAATTTAAAACTCACGGGGCTATAATAAATATCTCACTCTTTCCAGGCAAGACTACATTTCCCTCGATGATGCTCTGCTGACGATGCGCACTCTGGGTCGTTTCCATGGCGTCGCCCTGGCCTTCAATTCCCTGGATCCGGAGAACTTCAAGAAAGCTGCTGCATCTCTGGAGGAAACCTACTACGGCGAGCACACCAGGGAGTGGTATACGGGCTTCTTGCTACTAGCAGAGAACGTGGCCAAGGACGCCATCAAGCAGATCTACCCGGACAGCAAGTATGAGACAGTAGCCGGAAACTTCCTCCAGCCAAAGCTCTTCGACGATCTAGTGAGTCTCGTCTCCACTCGCTCCAAGCTAAGTGTCTTCGGCCACGGCGATTGCTGGACGCCCAATTTCCTGACCAAGTATGGGGAGCAGGGGCAGTCGCAGGAGAACATCATCATCGATTTTCAGTTGGCGAGGTGCTCGTCCCTTGCTCTTGACCTGAGCTTCTTTGTTTACTCGTGCACTAGCCAGGAGCTGCGAGAGCAGCACTACGACGAGCTACTCCGTGCTTATTTGGAGAGCGCCCAGGCTCTGATCCGGGATCTGGGCGGCGATGCGGAGGCTGTCATTTCGTGGGAGTCGCTGCAGGAGGAGCTAAAGAACTTTGGACGCTTTGGCTGCGGCATGGGCATCGAGTCGCTTCCGATGACTATGATGGAAGATGACGACGTAGCAGATCTGGACGGCATTCAGGAGAACGCTATCCTGACCGACGTCTGGAACATTACTCCCTTCAAGGAGCGAGCCAAGCAACAGCGCCTGGCCGACATCTTCAAGCACGCCATCGATCAGGGCTATATAAAGTGATCCTCCGGTTCTCTTCCAGCTTCAAACCGCAGTCATATCGAATCCATAACGTCTGTAGTGAAAGAAAAGGCTCTTGAAAGCAATTTAATTGATTATTTAATAAATTAAGTTTTTACCAATTTTTTATAAAATTTCCTCCGTTGATGTATGTTTTTAATACGACTGGATATTCCTACTTGGCCTTCCTAAAGCCTTCTTCGGGGGAGACGTACATGGCGGCGTAAATTTAAAGGATCGGATCGGATATACTTGGCTATACATGCGAGATTGGCTTAAAACTGAGACTATTCGAGACGGACATTCGTATATCCTGATGAAGAATATATATACTTAGTACTTTATATACAAACTTACTGACCAAAAATATAATACAATCTGCAAGGGCTTAGGAAATTGGCTAGGACTTGAAACAAAAATAAAATATTTAAAAATGTTCTAGGAGTCTCCTAGTTGGAGTCATCCGTCGTTTATTGACAGCACCTTTCCATAAATATCCTTTGTAGTTAATTACTTTCATTATTGTTAATGAATATTTCCTGCTTCGATTCAATGTTCGAGTAGGAGAGGCACTATGTTTTGAATGAACCATGTCTGGGATATGGACAAGTGGTCGCCCTCGACGCCCAGAAACACCAGTTTACCATCCCTTTGCATTTGCTTTAATCCCAACTGCGGGTAAATGGTAATCCATAGAGTAGCTAAATAAAAGATCGTGGCAGAATTGAGTGGTACGTACGTTTTCATAGACTTTACTGTCCTTCAGGGGCTGGATAACTTTATCCTGTCCAGAGGTGTAGAACTCGAACCATTGCGAGTCCTTTGGCTGGACAACAGTGTCGTTGAGAAACTTGACCATTACAAATCTAGGGCGAAAGCAAGGCGTCATTACTGAAGGAAAGCTAATGGGTTTCTTAGGGATCAAGGTACTTCTTCAGCTTGTTCAAGTTCTCGGTGTAGAAGACGTTCAGGTACAGCTCGTTGTTGATGTCTGCCAAAAAAGTGCTTCCCCGGCGGTAGTTGTTCTCCATCAGCGGATCGTGCCAGTAGGTGGCCTGAACAAGTTGCTCCTGCACCGCCCTGAAATAGCATAATTCTATGAAATATACCCATGATCGACTTATAAAATCAAATGCCCGACAGGTGTAGAGCTAGAAGGAGGTTTTTGGCAACCCTCACATAAAAAGTGTCACTCACGTTGTGTAGGCTGCGGTAGTTAGGAGCCGGGATATGTAGTCGCAGGCCTCAACGGACAGTGTGGGGCAGGAGGGCAGCCCAAAGACGCCCTGGTGCTGGCCTCCGAAGGTGATCAGAGTCCGCATCGGGGGCTGGGGACACCTCTGGGCCACCGCTCGTAGGAACTGCCCACCTTGCGAAAAGCCAATGGCGTTGTAACCTTTGGCCATCTTCTCGTCTGCCAGCAGCTGCTTGCATACGTAGTCAACCTGCTCGTTGGGATGGATGAAGAAGCCGCTCTCCCAGTCCATTACCATGTTTCCGCCGATTTCCACGGAGCGCACGTAGGTTCCGTTCGTGTGGGCCACAATAAGCTTCATGAAGGCACCCAGGCTAAAGGGCAGGCAGCAGGTGTCGCCCATTCCGTGCCACAGGAGCACGGGAAGAACCTCTGAGTTGGAGCCACCGGCGGTGGGTCGCCACCACCAGTACCCCACAATCAGAATCACGAGCAGCAGCAGAATAATGATTAATCGACACATATCTGTTTCTATCCTGTACCGGCGTCTTTTCCTTTGTTTATATTGTCAGTCTGCTGCAGTGTGACCGTTGGCGGAAATTTAAAAAAACACACGCGCTTGGTGGGTGAGCAACAGGTAGTGTTGCCAACTATCGAAACGTGAGCAACAGGTAGTGTTGCTACCAAGCGGTAGGTGAGTAATGGATAGTGTTGCTAGTGTTGCTACCAACCGATAGGTGGCCGCGAGGATTGCCTTCCTTTTTTTTATTCGCAAATTCTGCTTCGCAAGCCTGAATCTTTGCTGCAGGATCCCCAGCTTCCCCAGCGCAACCCACATTTGAGTAAACTCAAGGCCACCAAACCATTTTTATTTATTAAATATTCCTCATATACTTTTAATATATTATGGGCCATAAGATTCGCTGGCTCCTTGTCGCCAGCCACCACAATTGGCTTCGTTTTCGTTTATTATCCATTAATATTTGCCATTACCTACTGTTCGAGGGACATTTAAGTGTGTGAATATATACAAGGGACCTTTTATATTTATTATTTTGGTAAACAAATATTAAAGAGCGGAAAAAATATCGGGGGTTTGGTAATCCTACGCGGATAAAAAGAAACAATCCAAGCCAACAGTCAATTAAAAAAAAAAATTGCAATGACTCCCCAAAGAAGATGCGACTCCCACTCCTTGGAGTCTTTGGAGCACTTAGAGAACTCCGTTAGGTGTGGCCGCTGAAGCCACTCCCCCAGCTGCAGCCGCAGCCGTCTGCTGTTGGAGCTTGCTGCTCTGGGAGAAGTCGATGCAGGCGCCGGAGGTGAGATCGATTTCCTCGGAGTCGGACCCGTCCGAGCCGTCGTCCGACTGGCCGGATCCAGAAAGAGCGGTTGCCATTCCCAGTTCGAGTCCATGCGCTGGAGCCTTGTAGAGCTTCAGCTCCGTGTAGGTCTTCGAGAGCTTCTCCTGGTCCATGGCTGGGCCCCCGGATCCAGATGCAGATCCCTGTCCTTGCTGGAGGTGCTGATGCTGTTGATGCTGCTGGAATGCCGGATGCATCATGGTGAAATTTCCAGCGGAGTTTGTGTCCCCGATTTCCGGATCCTTGCCGGCAGATAGGTTCTCGGGAGTCTGATTTGGCGTCCGGTTGCCCGCCGGAGCTCCTGCGGGAGACCCGGCGGAGCCACTGCCACCTCCAGCAGATCCTCCGCCGCCACCCATCACGGGGGGCGTACCCAGGCTGAGGCAGCGCATCCGCCAAGCATCCTGTAGCAGCTGCAGGCGCGCCTGTTTCCGCCACTTGGCCCTTCGGTTCTGGAACCACACCTAGCGATAAATCAATGTAAGGGAAACAGTTCTGTTACTCAATATTCCAATCCTTTGTGTTTTTTTCGCGAATATTATCTGTAGGGCAAGGTCTCTTTAAGGGATATTGCCCTGGAGAATGAGATTGGGAACTGGGCCCAAAGAAGTGCGCTACGATTTTTGAAAGACGAGGCATTTTTCCGCCTCTGATTGATATTTTTTTTTGGATACTTTGCCTGATCTTCGCGGGTTTGAATCTGAATCGCTTTAGGGGATTCGCCATTCACCTGGACGCGCGCCTCGCTCAGACTGATCCTCAGGGCGACCTCCTCGCGGAGGAAGACGTCCGGGTAGTGCGTCTTCTGGAAAAGGGCCTCCAGTTCCTGCAGCTGTTGGGGCGTGAAGGTGGTCCGGTTCCGACGCTGCCTCCTCCGGCCGAACATGTACTCCGTGAGCAAATCGCCGGGCAGAGGCGATATAAATGGTCCTGCCATTGTCTATAAGTTCCGGATGTCGGGCTTTTTTAATGGAATTATGGCAAAGTATTCCTGCAATCTCTCTTAAGTTTGCACTCGGATTTCACTGGCTCGGCACAAAAAAAAATAGATTTCACTTCGACTTCGGCATCTGAATCCGATTAGTTCAAAATTGGCCAAAGTTGGCGCCACAGAAAAAAATAGTTTAGCAGGAAGCAGGTGCTTTCGCAGGAGATGCTCTTGGCTGAGCGTTCGGCCAGCGACTGCGGAAATGCAGGCAGCATCCTGTGGCTTTTATGCAGCTTCCGCAGGATGCGGGCTAATATATCCGTGTGCTTCGTCTTGGTGTGATGGTGACTGTGCCTCTGTGAGGGTGCGCCTGCGACTCGCCCATTTTCAGTTGTCGTAATTAAAAGAATCGCCCCCTCGCCACCCGCTCACCCATACTGCTATATACTCTCTTTAGGGCTCAGCTAATTGCCTCAATATTATTGGATACTGTGAGGTCCTTGGAAGTGCCTCGTGTGCCAGGTATTTAAGGCAATTTGACAAAAACATAATTTAACATGGGTGTTTTCCTGTTTTTGATTTTAATTATCATTTCCCAATTAACTCTCGACTGCTCACCTCTCTCCCAGGCAATCACCCTTCTGCTGATGCACCTCCGCATCCACATCCTTACTCGCATCTGCATCCCTTTCTAACTCCACGCTGCGCATCCTCCGAGTGTCGTGGGGCTCGCTCATTTGCGCTCCCAGGCCCGGGCATGCTGCCTCGCTCGTGTACCGTCGGCATGCTCGGCGCTCCTTAATCAACGCGCTCTCCTGCTCTGGTCCTCGCAGGTCCTGCTGGTGTTGACGTTGTTGTTGCTGTTTCCGTTTCCGTTGCCGTTGCCGTTGCGTCGGTTGTTTATTGTTTTCTCGTTTTGACTTCGTTAAATTAAGGCACAAGCACAAAAACCTCATAAGCGATATTTGTTTCGGTGCATTTGTATGTGTGCCTGTTGCGGCGGGGTGGCAGAGGGAGTTGTGGGTGGGCGGCAGTGGGCGGTGCAGTGCGGTTGGATGAATTTCGCACTGGGAACCGTGGTGCCAAAGCTGATGATCTCGCCTTGTTATATTTCACACAAATTACGTATACGACGCGTGGGCGGAGTGGATATTGGGAGTGAGTTATTACGAGCGAGTGAACCAGAATGATAGTCTTGATCTTGAGCTCTACAAGCCACTAAATAGACCTATAGATTCGTCTTTATTACACATAATTTTGCGATAAAAATGTCACATTCTGACCTCCATTACCTGGTATATGGTATATACCTTATGAAAACCAAGAGCTTCGTTCCACTGTGCTCTGTATATGAAATGTACCTGTAAATAATAAAATTCAAATCACTTAATGCTGCCGGCAGCAGAGGCAGGCAGCGACGCCAGCTTCGGCAGCAGAACAATAACAATAAGGCCACACCCCCCAAAAGGAGGGGAAGAGGCACAATGGAGGCAAGGAAATGAGGTTGCCACCACAGCTGATGATGAAGATGAAAATGAAAATGGAGGTGGAAGTGGAGGTGGAGGTGGCTGTGGCGGTGCAGGTAGAGGGGGTGGAGGAGAGACAATGCCTTGCCCCCCACTTCACACAGCCGCCCCCTGCCCCTCGCTGCAGTGGGTGTGTGTGTGTTAAACAAATTAAGGGATGCAATTTTCTCATTTCCCCGGCATTGTGTTGTGTTTTTGTTTTTTGTTTCACTTTTTTGCGCTGCGCTTGCGCTGGAAATTATATTTATTTATTATTTATGAAGAATAGGCGTGGCACCACACCCCTCACGGCGCCCCCGCCCTTTCGCCACCTGCGAGGGCTTTGTGTGCTTTATTTCATTTGCTTCCTTTTGCGCCCAAGCCAATCATAAGCGAGCCCAGATGTCCCTGTGTGTGTGATAGTGAGGGGGTGGGCGGGTGCGCCAGTGTGTGTGAGGGTTGACCAGGACGACAAGGATAACGAGCGGCAGACGACTAAGCTGATGGCTGCTGATGGCGCAGACGTTGACAGCCTCGTTCATATTATCTGAAACTATCCCAAATGTTGCTTTGTCTTAAGGACATTTCAAAATGTCGCGTTTTTTAAGGACTTTTTCGAAGAACTTCTTTTCCAACAACGAATTTCTAGGAGAACTTCTTGGGCATAGGGGGGATAATTTCCATTTCCCAATATGGTCCCTTCCGAGGCCAATAGCTTTGCCATCTCACATTAGATTCTTAAAAGGGATACCTTTAAATAATCGTGGACTAATTTGCCACCAATCTGAGTTCAAAGTCTAAAATTCGAAAATTTGTGTAGTTTTTTTTTGAATTTTTGGAAGGCTAACCGCTTTGGAATTTCCAGAATAAAAGGATATTATAGGAATCTTAGTCTATTTACGTCCGATTCTCTAGAAGAATACCTGAAAGGAATCATAGCTCTATTTGCCGCCTAGTTATGTTTAAATCTCATGGAGGAAAAAATTATAGATCTTTTCCGAATTTTCTAGGGAGTCCCCTTATTGCTCTGGAGGATATTATGAATCTCCCTTTTTGCTTACAGCCGGAGTCCACACCTTGGCCTTTTCCCATCTGATTCTTGAAAGGACAACTTTAAAAGAATCGTAGCTTCCTGGGTCATCAATCTTCGCTTAAATCTCAAACTCGAAAACTTTTTATATTGCATTTCTAACTTTTCAGGAAATAAAATTGTAGATCTCAGTGTACCGACTGCTAAAGCCCAAATCATTGCCATTTCACACCCAATTCTGGGGAGGAATCGTGGCTCTATTCGCTGGTGTTGTGTTTTTTAAACTCGAATCCGAAAATATTTTAGTTTTTTTGCCGAATTTTTTAAAGAACCCCTCGGGAGTCTGGGGAAATATAGTATCTTCCATAATGGCGCCCACCTCCGATTTTTAAAAAGAGTAGCCCTCTGTTTGGGCTACTCCGTTTGGCGGCCACCTGTGCTTAAATCTCAAGGCCAACAATTTTAAGTTTTGGTAAAGGGAATCCTTCCGATCCTTTCGATGTACGTCCAATTCTTGAAAGTATCGCTTCCTGCACCCTGAATCGTAGCTTCGTAACATCGTAGCTTCGTAGAATCGCAGATATTGGTTTGAATATATCCATTTTCCTTGAAAATTAGCAACAAACTATCCTGCTGACATTTATTTTCTTCTCCTTTTTCTTTTCCATCTAGCTCTAGCTTTGTTCTGTTCTGCTCTTTCTGTTCGGTCTTGCCTTCCCCAGCGCCATTTTTAATTTTGTAATTTGATGCAGGGCTGTTATGCGCTTGTTGTTTTCCCCGCTGTTGTTGTTGGCATTCATTAGGCAACACGCTTTCCACCTGAGCTGGAGTTTTCCGCAGCCCAGACCACCCCGCCCACCTGGCTGCACGCCTTTCTCTCTCTCGGGCTCTCTCTCTCTGTGTCTGTGTGTCCATTGTTTTGTCGCGCTGATTGGTCTTTCATGTACATGTGGGTGTGTGAGTGAGTACCTGTGTGTGCGTGGAAGTGAGCTCCATTGTTGCCTTGCCTCTCGCTCTCGCATTCTGCTGCCGTTGTTAATTATTTATTTTAGCGCGTTCCTCTTCTGGGCCCGTTGTTTCCATAGCCAGCTTCCGCTTCTCCCCCCTCCTTCCGTTCTCGGATCCTCATTCTATTTAGCACTCTTTTGATTTAATATACCGTTGCTTCACATCAAAATAAGCCAAACAGGAACAAAATGGCGTCTGCCTGCAGTAATTCTGCCCCACTAAGTAGGCAATGATTTTTTCCAAGGATTTAGTTTCGGCAATTTGTTGGCCTTTTTTATTGGAAAAAGCTATAACGTTCATTTTTATATTTCCAAAGGCGGTTAGTATCTGTAAGCATTATCCTTTCTAATTAGTGTAATGCTGTAATGATGAATCTAAAAAGCCACAAAACAGGCGGGAGAAATTACAAAAAACAATACATTTTCGCGTGATTGTCAAGTCGAAACCGAAAACCGAATTCCCGGAGGTAGGGCCGGAATATTAAATTTTTTGGCTGGGCGGTCGGGTGGTTTCGGGTGTTCGCTCTTTGTTCTGCTCCGGGTGGCTCCTTCCTCCTTCCTCCCGCCTCGAAGCCGCCAAAGACGCTAGTTAATTGGAATTTTTAATTATGATTTGTCAATGCCTGCACAAAAAGCAAGCCAAAAAACCGGAAAAAGAGAACAAAACGGCAAACAAAATAAAAACAAAAAAAGACAAAAAGGAATCAGAGCCAAAGGGAACCCTCCGGCTGAGACTTCGGCATATCCCGTTGCGAATCCAGGAGGCATATACGGGCGGCCGGCGGGAGAGGCAAGGAGACGGGTCTATTATCCTGCATAAGCATATTACGCACAAAACTACGCCGTGCAAACTAGCAGCTATATTTCCATATTCCAGCCTCTCTCCAGCGTCCTCTGTCTGTTGCATTTTGTAATCATTTTAATTGCCCCAATAATGAGTACACCTTTCCCCCTTCCCCTCTATCCCCCTTCCCAGCTCGTCCAGCTCACCTGGCAGCCGCGCTTATGAAAATCATTAAGTTAATTACATTTTTTGCACGCCAGAGAGAGAAAGGGGGTGAAAAAAAGAAAAACACAAAAATTATAATCAGTGCCACACAAAAGCACACCGTGATGTTGCAGCAGCAGGGGGTGCAGCAGAGAGGCCCATTGGCGTTGGCGAGCAGGAGGAGCAGAGGGGGCGTGGTCTAGGCGCCTCGACAGAAAAATGGGGAAAAAAGAGCGAAACAACATGGGAAAATATTTTTCATAATACTAATTGCATAGTCACAATGTCATTTTGTGAGGAGAGAGAGGGGTGCGCAAAGGCCGAGGGGGAGGATGGCCAGGGGGCCGGGCGGGCTGGTAGGCTGGTAGGCGCCCATGACAGCTGTCTGTCAGTGGAAACGAGCTGAAACAAGAGATGATGTGCACTCCAAGAAAGGCGAAAAGGACACACTGGAATAGAAGGCACCGGAAACATCCAAA